AGAACAAGCAGCTTCTTTCTTCCTGCTGGATGAGGGGTTTCCAAACAAGGTAAAACAGCAGCAGACAAGTGGAAATATAATATACTTCTCAACTGGTCTAAAGCAGGAACACCATCAGCCACTGCTACTGGCCCAGTAGCAGTGGGCGATTTCTTCTCACTGAATCACCCAAATCCACTTACTAAGGTGTATTTTGTACAGGAGTACAAAAAATTAATCAATGCATAACTTTCACCCGAATACTGGTTAACCAAGCAATTTAGTCAAAGTTAGTCTTCCTTTACAGTTCGAGTAGAACTTTGGCCCTGTGGAATTCAGTGCAAAATTGCAATCACTGAAATAGATCAGGGCTCCCCTATCCCTCACCTCACATCTTTTCCTCTAATCTTCGATACAAGATTGCCTATGATGATGCCAGGAAGTACATGTTACAGTACTTACATGTCTTAAATGATTTTCCACTCAAGATTTTCCCATTCTTTAATGCTTCTATTGTAACATCATAGCTTTTGTTTTCTTCTAGCAGAATAGAATTCAGAGGTTTAGACACAACTGTAGAAATATTTTCTACATTCTGAAATTTGGAAGAATTTTTGGATGTAATCAGTAATGTAATTAGTAAAGCTCAAATTAATGAAAATCATCTAAGCAGTAAAAAGGTTACTTATCAAATATTGTAACATGCCAAAAAAAAGTTGACTCCATCCAGAAACTATAACATATATTTGACTATTCTGAGTTTGTAATGCATACTCTTCCATTAGAAAACTCACTCATATTCTGCCCAGATTCAAACTTCAGAAGCCAGTGTGCTTGAAATAAAAACAAAGCCCCCGAAATTCAGGCCATGATTCAATAAAGCTTAATTTTAAAGAAATGCTCAAGTCTACCCTCTTCAGCAAGGCAGTTGTATCCATGATAGATCCCACTGGTTTTATGGGAAAAGGGTACATTTTTGGACAAGGGTACATTTTCTCTCATAGGTGCTTACCAAATTAAGTCTAATTTTGCTGTACTTTTACTTGATCACTTAAACCATGTGATATTAGTCTAGTGGGAAATGACCCTTATTTTATAATAAAAGAGATTAATGTAAATTAATTGACTACTAGTTACACCATACAGCATTATGAAATACACCGTTTACTTTTTTGTGGAAGTCATCTGTTTGCTGATATGTTACAACATAAAGTTCTGGATTTTCTCCTTTTGGGAATTCAGACCACTCTAGCAAAACTGGTCTTGTAGGTCTTCTCACTTGATCACAATCTAGACTCTTTGAAATCTGCAATATAAAGGTTGCAACTGCTTTTTAACACAGCATACATTAAAAGAAAAGCAACTTTAAAAAAAACTGGATGCCATCATATTAAATTTGTTCTATTTAAATACTGCTATTTACTGTAAGATTCTGCCCAACCCATATGTGTCTGCCCACCTATGCAGTCTGCCAAAGTTCTGTAATTCTCGTAAGTTCTACAAATAAGGGTGTTGCTTCTTTTCCTTCCCTTCACATGTCAGCAAATCATATTAGCTGGGTCCAAACCTGGTCTATTGGCTGCCCATTTGTATCACTTTGAAATACTCCATAAATTTGATCAAATAAGCTGGCTAGCAATTGTTATCCTACCAGCTCAAATAACAAAGCCAAAGGTATAGTATGTTTTTTACTCAGATGAGGGCTGAAAAGAAGAGTTTGACCCTTTTAAGTTTTATTGGTTTGGTTTAAATGAAATGTTAAAGGCATGTGTCCCGACATCTCAAATTCCCTAGCTTTCTTCATCAACACAGTTCAGAGTTCAGTTTAGTCTTAGTAACTCCCACAGTATCTGTGTAACAAGTGGAAGTCCTGGGGCTGGTCCAAATGTTGGCCAGCCCACTTGTTTCTGGGTAAACCACCTGCCTACTGTTCCTGACACGCCTTAAATGATAATGATCGAATGACGACAATAAGGTGGGAAGCTACCTATTTACTTGCCCTGATGCCAAGGGCTTATGTACATGGCTTTCTGCTCTCCTGTACCATGTCTCATGCCTTGTAGATGGCATCCACGTTCTTCCAGTGCCTCACACAGGGACCCAAGCTCCAGAGTCTCACATGGGACTCTTACTCCCCACTGGAGTTCATAGTCCCCATGCCTTCACACTGGGCTCTCCTGCTGTCCATCACTCAGGGCTCCCAGCCCTTATCCATTCAGGGCTCCAAGTCCCCAGCAACTCTGGGCTCCAAGCCCCATTCTCTTTCCTACACTGGGCCTTATCCCCTGCCCTACACTGGGCTACAATTCCCTTATCCCTTTGCCCCAGGAGCTTCTCACGTAGCTTCCTGTAGGCTCAAGGCCCCACCTCTCCTGGCTCCCTTAGTGCAGCCTCAGATCTCGCAACGTCTCTGCCCCTTCACTTGGCCAGGACCCCACCTCAGAACTCACGGTGAGTCTGAGCCCTGGCTTTGTCCTTTGGGGTATGCTCCCCTGGCCTTTCCCCTCCATGGGGTCACCCGCAAGGCTGTGGGGGCTGAGGCTTTCTGGGGCCCCATATTTGCCCTTCCCTGAGGAGGCCCCAGGTGTGGCATTTCCTGGAGATTGCCCTGCCACTGGCAGTCCCACCACACCCACCAGTCCCAGCAGGTTGTAGTAGTTTTAGGTCATGCCCCAGAACCAGGAGTCTCCAGCCATCCCCATAGCTCCTGCCCTGTACACTCAAGGTGTCACAAGCAACAACTCCAGCCAGGTGGTGTTCTCCCAGCTGCTAGCAAGACTGCTGGCCTTGCTGTTCAGGGCCCTGCTTATAAGGAACAGCTGGGTCCTGTTCCCAGTCAGCAATTGTGCCTAACTGGGGATTGGAACCAGCTGCAGGCTGCCTTGTTGCTGCCCATGCCCCTAAGAGTAATAGAGCACACCCTGTGCCATTACAATCTGTATATCTCATAATCAGGAATAGAAACACATAGGAAGTGAGAATCCCTCATCTCCTAGCTCATCCTACTGGTACTGGGCAGATCTCAGGGACTTAATCCTCTCTTACAGAGATTAGTTAATTTTCAGATGGTAATCTTTTGTTACTACCATTTTAAAGACATTTGAAATTAAAGAGTTTCGCTACATCCATTCAGGGGGAAAAATGGATCCAACTTAGAACCAAAACCTTAGGAACTAGTTTTGGATTTGAGAATTCAAACCAAACTATGCATCTAAAATTCAAAGGATTACAGACCAGAGATGCCAGTCACTACTAGATAACATAATGTACATCTTATACTTATTTAAAGATTTCAGCTCTTCACCTACTTTTATTCCATTCCTCTTATAAATACTGAGGACAAAATTTGTTTTTGCCATCCATGAGCCAGAAACCAAAACGTAGCTCAAAAAGTTGGAGTCTTAACTAACAGAAAACACTCCACTTAAAAAATAAAATCTGAATCTATTTTTTCATATACTGCTTTGTGTTACACTGAATCATGATGTACTAGAGTAAAAAACGAACACAAAGTAAAAAGGTGCCATATGTGAGTACATGTACCCAGCTTATTCTAAGATAATTTGTCACATCTAATGCCAAATGGACACAACTATGTAAATCTCTTAAGGCATTAATTTATTTTTAAAACATAGTTTATATTTCATAGGAATGGCATTGGTCATTTCTTGGTCATCAAAAAAAATGATGTTAAATTGATATCTATGCTGTAAAGGACAGTGTCCATGGAGTCTTTTTGTAGATACTTGTATAGCAAACTGGAGGATTTAAGAAGATTGGCTCCACTATGAAAAACAATCTATTGGAAGCCCTGCACTCTGAAGAATAAAAGTATCTGCTCTGAGATATAATAATCAATTAATACAATGGGTAACACTTCAAGGAAAAATAGATTTAGCTCTTTCCCCTCCAACTTTTTCTCTTGGTTTTAAGCTAACTGTGGCAGTGCACTGTGTGTGTCTGCCACTTCAAGGGCCTGGAGCTGGCAGCCTCCAGGTGCCTGATTAGGGCAGCCATTTTAGAGGCAAGGGCTGCCTATATAAGCAGGGCAGTGTGGCTGCTGGGGGCCAGGCAGCAACATTGTCTGGCTGGAGTGCTGCTGAGATCACCCGGAGGTAAGAGGGAGCTACAAGGGGTTAGTAAGGAGGCTCCTGGTCCTGGGCATGACCTGAAACTGCACCCTGCTGGGTGTGGATGGTCTGGTGGGGCTCTCAGTGGTGCAGGAGCCCCCAGGAAATGCCAGGCCAGTTACTACCCTGGTGAAAGGTGGGTTGGGGTGCCTTAACCCCTAGCTCCCACCACCACTGGGTGGGTTACCCTTGTGTTTGTTGGGGGGCCTGGAGGGCCAGTGTTGTGTGGGCCCAGAGAGGGCAGACCCTGAAAGCATGATTGAGTATAGGGCGTGGTGCTGCGGTTGCCCCTAGGAGAAAGGGAGTAGTGGCACGGTGAGGCCCGAGGATGCGAGTGAGCGGCTAGAGACCCAGCCCGAAGGGGAGAGTACCCTTGACTGGCCCAAGCTGGGGCCAGGACTATGGGAGTCAAAAGGGCCAGGGGCCCACTGCGAGGGACGCCCAAGAGCTGGGGGCCTGGGGTCCTGACTGGCCTGGAGGTGGGCCAGGGCAAGTGGCCGAAGGTCCCGGGGGGACCACACCCGAGAGGGGAAAGTAGCTTCAGGGGGGCTAGGTAGCCTGGATGATGGTGGAGAGGATCATAGAGAGGTCCTGTTCGGAAGATTCTGGGGCCCAGTGTGGAGCTGGTGACTAGGTGAACATCATGATGCCATCTGTGAGGCTTGGGCTGCGGTATTGGGGAGGCAGGAGCCGCAGAGAGCGCCCCCTGGCATCGGGGCACTAGATGGGCAGCCTCCTGCTTAATTGACATCAGATTGAATCAATTATCATCAAAGGTGTGGCGGGCGAGATAGGTGGGCAGTTGCCCACAAGACAGGGGGCAGGCTGTGGAGCTCGGCCCCAAGGAGGCCCCCTGTCACACTAACAATGTGCTTTTGTTCAGCACTGTCACAGAATATCAGCATCCTACAATTCTAATATTATAAAAGCCTTAGTCTGTCTGTCTGTAACACTTTATTTACCTCTGATTGGTTGTCTGAAACAACCAATCAGAGTGCGACCATTCAAACAGGAGCTGCTGCCCATGGAGTGACAGAGTGGGGAGCGAGGCCAGCAGAGTGGGCAGCTTGAGGCAACATCAGTGATGGATGAGGGGCGGCTCCAGCCTGAAAGGGTCGGGGGGCGAGGGGAGGGAAGAGGGGGCA